GATTTTGTCACATTTTGGGCGGAGATATGACAACGACGTGACTGGGTTGCAGAACACGAATTCGTATGCGGAAGCGTTGATTAATAAATATGAGGCGAATAATCTTTCCACCCCTCGCTGCGAGAGAGGGGAGAGAGCATTAAAAAAGAAAAGACCAAGGAATACAAGTACTCAGGTGCTACGATCATGGCCGGTGACGCCAAATTTTTGAGTTGGTAGCAGAATCCCACGAGCGGATTTTGTCCTTCTGTAGGCAAAAGTCTCCGACTCAATACTGCAAAATTGCCGATCGCAAATTCTGACGTGATTGCGAGGAGAGAAGTAAGAGCAAAAATCAAGTTTTGAGAAAACGAACTCGGAAGCTTCTGACCGGAAAATATTATTGAAACAACCTTCGTTCCTTGACAAATTGCCACTAATTGTCCGAAAGACTCCTAGAAATCGTTTGGATGATTAAAAATCGATTGATTTTATTTCAATCACATGAAAAGGGTATTTTTAATTTTCATGCTAGGTTAATGTTACGCAAGACAGCCGTAAGTGTTATCCTCTGCATGCTTTCGTGGTTGCGTTTTGAACGCACTGGCTTTTCATTAGCTCTCTGGAGGAATATTGTCACTTACTGCTGTCTTGCTTGAAACTACGTCATTGTTTGCGCACTTACGGCTGTCTCATATGTCTTGTCTTCAAAAAATTAAGATGAATTGTGCTGTTTTAGCTATATTTCAGTGATTTTATCTTTAAGAGATTATGTGAATTTTGAAGGAAACTCGATCCTGAAAATCTGATTTTTACTGCTCTCCTCGCTATCACGGCAGAGCTGTACGAATACAGAGAGGCTGATGAACATTTCTAGCTGAAACATCGATTATATTTCCGATTCATCGTAAAAATTAGCAACTTCTGGCTCAAATGATGGCGTCATCAACGTGCTAAAATCGCTACAGAGGGGGGAAGCGAAACAAAAGGGAGCTCTTTTGATGGCAATTGAATGGAATTAAGGCGTCTGCGATATGCTGTAATCGAATTCCGACGTCAAAGTTTTTTCTTTCTTTATTTGTTTAGTATAAAAAAAAAAAAATTGAATTTATAACTTTTTTTCACTATTTTCCCGGAGAGCATAAAAAGTCGTAATGAAATGAAGAGGGGGACATCGTGACTTACAAAACTTCTACAACATTCTCATTCCGAGACTCGGTGAGGCACTCGGTACGGGTTTCGATGTAGTGCCGATCTTTTTCGATACTTGAATACTCGGCGTGATTTAAACATTTTATTTTGTAGTACGAACGGATTGCGGATTGACGCACGAGTCGTTCAGACAGTAGTGCGCTTTTGAAAAAAGAAAAAAATTAAAGCTGCGGAAGGGGTAAAAAAGCGCACGGGTCTACTTACCATTTGAAACAAGTTTATCATTTAACCGTCCCCGGTCGTGGTTTTATATACGATAGAACGTAACTAAATTCTAGTGTTGCCAAATTTACCCTCGAATATTGTATTTTTACCGTGAGAATGTTAGGTAATTTGAACTGTAAATCTGACTGATTTTTCTTCAGATCTAATGGAAACATGAGACAAATTTTGGACAAAAATTGCACAAGTACATCCTCGAATAACTTGGATTGTTACAGTCAATTTTGCGACCTTGGAATAGAGTTACGTTCATCCGTCCGAAAAGCGACAAAATATAGGGTCAAAATGTTTTAGGGGAAATAAGTTATTTTATGCTGAATACTCTGAAAAAAAAGATAGGTAGAATTTACCATTCCTTCACGCTGTATTTCACACAGCGTGAGGGAATGGTAAATTCTACCGATCTTCAAGTCAATTCTGCCAGAATTATGGTTACCTGTACCAGTATATAGTAACGTTTACCTTTCTTCTCGCAGAATTGACTCTAAATTGACGCTGTGTGAAAAACAGCGTGAAAGAATGGTAAATTCTATCATTTTTTTTGTGTATCCATACGTAAAGGAAAAGAATGGCTACCTCAATCTTTCTTTATATAAAAAAAAAAACTGTACCACTTTTTGATCCAAGTGCGAGCAAATAAAAGTCTCAAGCCTGCGATGAAAGGAGGGAAATATACTTTCGGTAGCTGAATCCAAATATGACGCGGTTCATAGTTGTAATGAAAAAGAATAAAAAAAACATGCGTGAAAGGGCAACCAAGGCTGAAAATTTTCAGATTTTTACAAGAGCGAGACGCTCGGAGTCCTGATAACCCTATTTTTAAACCTAATACCTTTACATGTCACAGCTGAGTGACAGCAACCTAAAGGTCGTATAAAACTGGTTTTCTGGGAAATTGACGCTGTGTGAAATACAGCGTGAAGGAATGGTATATTCTACCAATCTCTTTTTTCGGTGTAGTGAGGTAATTCGTAATGGCTTTTCAATGAAGCACAGTCATCCAGCTAGTTCTTGGGACAGCTAAAAATGTGCTAAACGCGTATGACCACACCATGTTAATCATGCATTTAATTCCAATTACAGAGATCAGTTAACGGAAGCGGAGGAGAATCCATAGCGTGGTTGAACTTCATTACACCCAGGACTCATCAGTGATACGATTCGAACGCACGCGATATCCTGTTGAATGCTGCGAAGAGTTTAGCAAGCTACCCCGTTTTTTTCATGCGTCGAATTTTTCGCTACTTTCCTCCTTACTTATACGACTGTTCTCGGGACAGAGGCCCGTGGTAAAAAAATAAATTAAAATTGGATTGTTGATATCAGAGAAATTTTATAAATATCACGGGGCAAACAAAAGAGAAAAAGAAATAATAATAAAAACCCCAACAACGCTCAATGACGAACAAAACTTGAGTGGTGACAGTTTGAATTTTGAAGTTCAGAAAAATTAATTTCGTGGTAAGAGCAATCTAAAATTCTGATCTCATGTTTATTGTATGAGATTGGACCAAGCTGACCTAAAAGAAAGAAACAAAGCCACATCAAACCAAATCTAACGCCAAATTTAACTGGGCTGTTTAATTTTTAACAAGAGAACGTATGTGCGGATTCCTTGCGCGGTAACGAAAGTTTTTCTCGGAAGTTCAAAATCCAATTTCTGGACCCATAACACGCACGAAAAAGAAAGAAACCCAACCTATTGAAAAGTTTTCTAGACGTAACTCGTCGTTTGTTAGACATTTTCGAAGCTATAACGACCAGAATTGACGAATAAATTTTGCAATGCCGTTGTGTTGATTTCATCACACCGAATTCCAATGGGGTTACAAAAAAAAGTGCTACCTGAAAAAAGGACCTCAATTCAAAAGTGGAAATACAGTTTCAGTATCTAACCAATTTTTGCCGAGAAAATATAAGGTGAGAATTAGTTGCCTGTGATACAGAATCAAATTTAACGGCTCAAACTCATTTTCAAGTAAAAATGATTAAATAATTATCGACTCCAAAAAACAGTTGAAATTTTTTGTATCGTAACCATGCTACAAGTGATCATGTAAGTAATATATTATGCAGATCCTATTGATACAACATTACTAAAATTTTAAAGCTCTTGACGCAAGTAAATTTAAAAATTTGAGGTAAAGTCATTGTCTCCGGCGCAAAAAGATAGGTTGCTGATCGGCGTGATCAATTAACTAACTTTTACAAATGAGAGCAACTGTTACCAACTTTAGAGTTTATGACGTCAATTGAGCGTTGAGATAGAAAATTACGTGATACAACTGTTTCTAAGTGAATCAAATTGCATAATTACAGAATTGCAGGATGACTGAGATTTCTCTGGATTTCTCTGGAGATTCGCGGCCCCTGTTGGTGTAAAGTTGTCGTCAACAAGCGGGCAACATGACATCAATTCGGTCGAAGGAACCACCATAGTGCCAGCTTATTACCAATTTGATTTTTCACCAACATGTCATTAAAACGTCGCAAAAACCGTGTCGGTTGCGACATTGCATCAATATATTAACATGTTGTTATATTAGTAATGCATGATAACATATTGGTGTCAAATCTAGGTATTCGTTGTCATGGTATATGATAGCGATATGTTATGATACTAATCAAATCGCCAGCAAGCCGGTTCTGTAAATTGACTAAAACTGCCCTAGTTTCACATACACTATGATACATTTTTGTTTGACATATAACCTTAAATGCATTATATTACATGACGTGATACAACTTTATCAACTTCTGGGTAACTAAAATTGCATAGCCACTGTGTTGAAGGATAACTGAGTTTTTTACCAGGTTCAAGGTTGTCACAATGGTGAATGTATTTTACGCCACAAAATGTTACACGTATGTTGACCCGTGTTGCACTATACATCACAAAGCCACGCACTACAAACATATTGACTCCTCGGTAGCTTAAATTGCATAACCGTGACATTGGAAAGGAGAACTTAGTTTCTCTCTTGAAATTCTACTCTTTCAGAGCAGGTCGCAGTGTCAGAAATGAGTGCGACTGGAAACTTGACTCTCAAAAAATTTCAACAAGTTTAAACGTAAGTTTTAGGATACGATGAGCATAAATCCAAGTGGGAATTATATTGATGAAAAAAATTTGAGATCATAAAGCCACCAATTCAATTTTCACCTCCAATAAATTCGCATAGTGACATTGAAATAGACTTATGGAATTTTTTGGTCCAATTATCCTGATCCTGAGATATAATTTAAGCTTTACCTCAAAAATTTTATCACTAAAAAAATGTGGTTTTTGCGGATTAAGTTAGTAAAAGTGACTTTTTGCCTTTCTGAGTAATCTATCACAAATCTCACGTATTTTATATATTCTCTCTGGTTGGATGAGTAAAGAGGTAGGAATGGTAAGGCAGAGGCGGATCCAACAATTTGGTAACATCGGATTGCCTCCTTTAAACCCATGCTAAATAATCGATGCTTGTCGGAGCACCCATCCCCTCCAAAAGTCGATATATTTCCATAAGTTTAAAGGAAGAAAAGACAATGTTGCCAATTTTATTGTATCCGCGAATGTGGTAAGGTAACGTGATACTTACTCCTTTCGTTGCAGTCAGCAGCGCAATCCCGAACGGTGCTCCCCTCGCTTACGTATTTCTGCAACAAACAACCAGACCGACACGTCAATATCAGGGCCGTAAATAAAATTCCAGCTTCTCCTCCGTCGTATTTCTTCCATTTCTACTCCAATTTAATGCACTTTAGTCGTCTGCTCCTTCTCAAACTGTCCCATTCCTTCCGTTTAAAAAAAAATGATGGAATGTTGCAAAATTTTCCAGAATGTCTGAAGAAGTCATCAAATAAAAGCACGGTAATGTTTTTGGACCGCTTTTGAGAAGCAACTTTTACATAATATAAGGAAAATACGGCAAGGCAGCAAATAACTAGGGATTGGATTGTATTTTGCAAAAAGGAACCAAAAGCATTCCAATGTCACTGAGATTGTGCGACTTTTTTTATCTCCCAAATATGAACTGACAGTCTAAACAAGTTCTATATTTACCCCCAATAAACTATGAATTCAAGACGAAAATTGCCTTTGTGTGTTCAACGGTTTGCTTGATTTTGCTAATTTTTGCAAGGAATGTAAGTTGTACAATTTTAGCAACATTGGAATGCTCTCGGTTTTTTTTTTTTTTTGCAAAATGAAATCCTATTATTCCTCTTTTCCCCTTTCGACACACTTTTTAATCATAACCATCACCTAAAAAAAGTGTGATATCATATGTTTTTGGTGTTTTTCCAGCACTGTGACGATTCACGGTACGTATTATTTTTAAAGTTCAAAATTTCCTGGGTTAGATTTTTTTCCTTCCGTAGTTTAACTGCATTTGTACGGGGAAAGGAAATGCTGATTTTAAGAATAAAATCCTTCAGGCGGTCAAAACTTAGAATTTTTGAGCAAATTGAAAATATTTGAACATTTTTTGAAAAAACTTGGTGAGCTGGATTGCTCCGAGTTTTCCTCTGTTTCCCGGTTGCCAAGAATCTCGAGGTTTTTTTTTTTTACTGAAATAATTTTTTCTCATTTTTTTTTCTTCTTTCCCTCTTTCCCATCTTCATTTTCATCGTACAAGTCCATTTTTTTTCTCTTTTCGATGTGGACAAAATTAGTGTCCGAGCATTTTTGAGCTTGTAGAAAAATCGAGTTTTCCCTCGAGACAATGCAATATCAAATAACGGGGGTGCTCTGAAATGAGTCCAATTCCGTCTACGATAATGAGACGTCAACAACTAAGGTACTCGAGGGGACCGTCTTCGCAGCGGACAAAACACAGAAGCCAACCGGATTAGCTCGATAATTTTGTCTCGCTGGAGCATTGAAAGCGTTTAAAATTATTGTTCAGACCATAAAAACCTTAGCGGGAACCGTCTCTACAGCCAATGAGCGAAAGTAATGTCTCTCCAAGGCAAAGAAAACTATTAATTTGCTCCCACAAAACTACCCCCGAGGATAATCATCCCTCCTTGCTCTTCATTAAAACTTCGCCACGTTTCAGCATCCACCCTGAAAGCATTACACGGAATAAAGGTCGCGTTCCCAAGCGTGAACATTCTGGTATAAAATCTGATGATAATTTTGATTAATCATTACGTGTTTTTTTTTTTTTTTTTTTTTTTTTTTTTTCAAGAAATTTTTCTTTGATCTTCTTAGAATACAATTGTATTCAGATGTTGAAGAAACATTTATAGAAGATAACCACGTATACATAGAATACAACCGTTCGCGACGGTCCACGATTTATGAAACCTCACCCCGAAAAGCTCATGATCGAAATGTATATATCGTAACCTAATAGGAGATTTTTACGCACTTCATCTCCTTCCGGTCAAAGTATCACAAGCGCCATGCGACATTTAAGCATTTCCGCCGCCATTTTATTTTTTTACAGAGAAATTGTTCAACGAAGGTGTCCGAAAATTCCACTGAGTTTCTTTATGTTGTCGATAATATTCAGTGAAATTTTCAAACAGATTCAACCAACAATTTTTCTTCAAAGAAATAAAATGGCGGCGACAATTTTGAAACGTTGCATGGCGCTTGTGATACTTTGACCGAAAGATGACGACTTATTGACATTCAATTTGGCCAAAAATGTCAAACCAAATCGAAGGCTATGGCAGTTTAAAGTAAGCGGTTAAAAAAATGCAGATTTAGAAAATATGAAATTATGGTCTGCTACAGTCAGAGCAAAAGTATGCCGAATTTCCTACATTTCGTTCTGTAATGGCGCAAAAATGAACTCAACTGGACGCACTCTATATTCCTCTGCACATCAGAAATAATCGGCAATGAAAATTTCAAAATCAGATTTTGCGACCAAACCCGACCATAATCATTTTACTGGTAACGACTTCTCCTCAGACTATCGTTTTTTCCCCTTGAACGATCACATTTCGTCATATCCCACACAAGAGAACGTAAGTCCATTTCTATATTGCAAAATTTTCACTTGTATTTCGTCTTTTCACTAGAAAATCGTCAGAAATTTTTCTTAGAAAATGTCACTAATTTTTCCATGGATTGTAGGCGAATTTCAAACAGGAATTGATCGGTCACTTGGACGTAAAAAAAAATCATGCAAGTAATTTGTGCAACCTTGGAACTGAGCAACGTTCTACTCTCTGGGAAGCTATAACGACGTAAAAGGCACACTGAGGCTCTTCGCCTATCTTTTCCTAGAATCTCCACGATTTATCACCTTCCTTTACCCATTCGTGGCCTCGGTGTAAACACAGGCAACCTCTATTGGTAAACAAATTAAAATTAATAGCTCGCAGAAATTGCTGAACGATTTGCATATTTTAAACCCGCTCAGCGAATATTATTTTGCCCGAAAACTTGCTGCACCAGCCAATTCGTAGCAAATTTCAGGGAGTTTGTTGAAATTTTTGCGAGTCTTATCGCCTCTCGGATTTAACGGAAATGTGATCGTCTGCGACAAAAGAAACTCAAGTTGACAAAAACTCAAAATTGAATTATAGCTACCATTTATTGAATTAATCTTTTTCATTAGTCAATAATTCTAAATCATATTCATAACAGCCTTAGCATTATTTCATAGAGCACTATGGTGCTGAAAATTTTGGGACAGTCAAAGGCCAAAAAGTCGCTATCATCGTAGCTATGACGATCGGACCTTTGCAGTTCAAAAATCGTTGAATTTTTCATTTTCAAATTCCCTGATTTTTCCAGAACACCTTACTCTCCATAGTGTTTGAATTCCCTTAACATATCCATTGATTCAAGTTTGCAAAATACTGGCAAATTTTTGCAAATGAGAATTGCTATAGACCAATTACTCAGCTCCTCAGTCATGAGTCCCGTGTGTAGCACCGGTTATGAGCCATCGTTGGGCGATTCTGAGCAACATTCCGAGAGAAACGTTTACACTATGGGCAAGATACCAGCATGGAGCCTCTAAAATGGACCGCGTTAAGCAGACAGGAACCACATGAGCTATTGCCAATTTAAATTGGGCACTTCAATTTTGTACATGAAAACGAGTTTGCAGATTTTTTTGCAAATTTAAGTGAATTTGTCCATATTACGAAGCAAATTCTTTAAAATTTTCAAAGGGATCCTCAGAAACACTCTCTTGTAAAAAATTAAATTTCCCAGTTAAATTTGGCAATAGGTACCTAATGTCTGTGCTCCCATTTTCCGGAACTCGCACCGAATTTCGGAACTTTTGAGATTTTCCAGAATTTTCCGGAACTTTTGAAAAAATCTAAAAAGTACACCGGAGCTTTTGACGGCCGTGGAGTGGGAGAAATTGGAACAAACAAGTTCCGAATCTCGGAACTTTTGACGGACTTGGAATGGAACTTTGGCTGATGTGGCTTGGTTCGTTTCTGCCAAACGCGGTCCAAATATAGTTCACCTGTTTCTAATGCACCCCCTGGTCTTGACCAACCGCACTGCTACAGCGGACACGCGAAACTCCATCGGAGTTTATCCGCGGACACTGATTTGGGCCGACGGGCACTTGGAAAAGGGGTTAAAGCTGTCATTGGGACGCGACAGGGTGCCGTGGTCGCCGTTGATAGGCGCTTGTTCAAATGTTTAACCGCAGGGACAGGGCTTTTTGAGCGTGTTGGGCCCGGCTTCCAGGTGCAGGGTCGAAAACCGCGGGACAGGGCTATCTCATATTGATTCAAAAGAGCAACAATAATTTATGCCCTGTCTGATGAGTCTAATTCGTTTCCATGTTATCAGATGTTAACCCGGACGAGGAGCCGAACAGAAACCGCGCGACTCGAAGGACGATCCCGATGCAGGTCTGCGGTTTTAGCCCGGCGCAGCCGAGGGGATGGGGTTGTTGTCAGTCGAGAGGCTGCGTCGCACCGTGGGTCGGCTTTTCAGCTTTTAACGACAGGGATTTCAAACTGAAAGAAAAGTTCGGTCATATGAACCAAAGTTCGGCGTTCTATATCATCCCTACTAATTGGGGTTTTCAATATCATTGATTCGGTTTGTCAAATCATCTATTCGGCTCTTCAAATTACCTATTCGGTTTGTCAAATCATTTACTCGGTTTCACCGAAAAAAAAAGTGAAGTTGATTTAACACTCTAGCTGTGAAAAAAGTGTGTGAGAACTTATAAAATGATAAATTACCCGCCACATTAGTTAGTTTAGCACTGCAAAGATGTAAAACTTACAGCTGTGGCGCGTAATCCAGCATTTTATAAGTTTTCGCACACTTTTTACACGTCCAGAATGTTAAATCAACTTCACTCTTTTTTCGGTGTTGTCAATATCATCAATTCTGTTTGTCAAATCATCAATTCGGTTCGTCAAATCATCCATTCTGTTTGTCAAATCATCTATTTGGTTTGTCAACCCGAAATTTCAGCTCTTGAAACCGAACATCAACAGTAAAGTGAACTTGTGCCGGAATCACAGGCTGAATTTGGCAGCTGAATATGGAAGTTAACAATCAGCGCCCGACGGCTGAAACTTCGCGAATTTCAGTTATTTTCAGCCAGATGTGTGTCCAGATGCGCGACACGCGCAAAATTCAGGCATCGGCCCGATGACCTCCACATTCAAGCTGAAAGTCAGCTCCCGCATTCAGCTTGTGATTGCGGCGT